CTGTCAATGCCAGATGTTTCTGGTGGCCTCGGCTGGGAGAAAGGGGTGCTGCCGGCCTCTGGGACGGAGAGGTCGCGGTGCTGCAGACCACGCTGCATGCACAGGACAGCCGCCACCGGGACCGAGGGACCCTAAGGCCCGCGGCATCCGAGCAGCCCCGCGTCCGCCCAGGAGCAGCAGCAGAGGCGGCCTGCAGACCTGGGGAGGAGCCAGAGGCCTCTGACCCAGGCTCCAGGGGCCGTCCTCCAGGACAGGCAGAATCCCTGGTCCCCAGCTGATGCGGCCTTAGGGATGGGAAGGTCACAGACTCCCTGACCCGTTGACCTGGATTGTTGTTGACACAGGGGACACAGCCACCAGCCCTCACCTTCTTCCCCGGCAGGTGCTGGGCTGGACCTGGTGCAGTCTGCACTCCTGCGAATCCCCGGGGGTTCTAGGCTGTGGGGCCCGAGGCAGCAGAGGCCCAGGCACAGGCTCCCAGAGCCCAAGTTCCATGAGAAGGCGCAGGGGACAGAGGGAGGCCCAGGGAGGGTCCAGGCAGGAGAGCCTGCCTCACCGTCTGGACGCTGGGAAGTCCAAGACGGAGATAAATTTTTAAAAGATCAAAATGGCTGGAATGCGGCTTTTTTGGTGGTGCTGAGGATTGAACCCAGGAAGACTTTAGCACTGAGCTACATCTCCGGCCCTTTTTATTTTTGAGACGGTGTCTGGATAAGCTACTGAGGCTGGCCTCAAACTTGTGATCCTCCTGCCTCAGCCTCCCGAATAGCTGGGATTGCAGGTGTGCACCATCGTGTCTTGTATCGGGTCTCAACTTTTGTCTGTGCAGTGAGAGTCTGGGACCTAGGGCCACCAGGGAATTTCCAGTGCTGTGGCCCTTCTGTTCCCTTGAAGACCCTGTGCAGTTTTGATTCTTCAAATAGTTTCTCTTCACTCTTCACAAGGAGATGACTCACACCTTTGCCTCTCCAGGCCAGCTCTCCTGCCTTGGGCGGCCATCTGCCTGCTGGACGCCTCCACCTGCATGTGCCCCGGCAGCTCAGGTCCGCCCGGTCCCAGGCTGCGGGGCCCAGGTGCTGCCTCCCTCCCACACCTGTTCTTCCCAGCCTTGGTCAGACTTCCTGTGTCCACTGATGGCCAAGACCCAGGCTAAAAACTATAAGTCACCCTTTTGCTTTTTCCCTGCACCCCACACCCCGAGAATCCCAATGGCTCCGCCTTCAAGAGACTTGCTGCACCCCACACCCCCAGCCTCCCCTGCTGGTGTCCTGACTGTGCCACTTCTGACTCTCACTGGTTTCCTAATGTGATCCTCCTGCCCCCCCCAGGCCCCCTTCTCCCCATAGGAAACACAATATTCTTTTAAAAACTGAGGACAGGGGCACAGTGGTGCACATCCGTAATCCCAGCAGCTTGAGAGGCTCAGGCAGGAGGATCGCAAGTTCAAGGCCAGCCTTAGCAACTTCGCAGGACCCCGTGTCAAAGTAGCAGATAAAAATGGCTGGAATGTGGCTCAGTGAGGAGCAGCCCTGTATGGAGAAGGAGAAGGAGAAAAAAATAAGAAGGGGAGGAAGGTAGGAAACCAGAAAAGACTTCACAGTTACCCGAAAGGGACTAGAAGGAAGGAAAACTATTTCCAAGAGGAGTGAAAACCTCCCTTAATGAGGGCGCAGGCAGAAAACCCACATATGGGGCCTGTTTTTCCACCAGTCCCTGGAGAGACTGTGTCCAAACTTGCAAGGACTTGTGAAGGGACGCGCTCAGGCGCCAAGTCTCCCAGGGGCTGCCGGCAGCTGACGCCGGCCCAGGCCTGGCTGCTGGGGGGGTGGGGGCGGTGCAGGCCTGGGGGGTCCTGGGCTGAAAGCCCCCCTGCCGCGCTCCCTGGGTCTGCACGGGGTCCTGGGAGCTTGGATGCCTTCAGGGATGGAAGCAAAACCCCAAAGTGCCCTGCTCTGCCGCTGCCGGTGGGCCCATCTCACAATTCAGACCCCAAGTTCACATGTAATAAGAAGGCCACCGACGGCCAGGGACAGAGCGGCCGAGAAGAGGGGGAACCAGTCAGCCTGAGGACACGGTCAGGCTGGGCCTGAAAGCTACCCCTGTGTGACAGGAGCCTCTGGGACCACATCCCAGCTCCCCGGGGACTAGCTGGGCCACTGAAGGAGGCACCCGGCCTCCCTGGCTCTGTCTCCTCATCTGTAGAACAGGGACCAGGAGGACGGAATATTGCCCATCTCGCAGCATCCTGAGGAGCATGGGGCAAAGTCATAATAGACGTTGATAGAGCTTTTTAATTTTTTATATTTATTTTTCAGTTGGGGTTAGACCTTTTTTTCATTTATTTATTTTTACGTGGTGCAGAGGATCGAACCCAGGGCCTCACGCCTGCCAGGCGAGCGCTCTAAACCTTGAGCCACGACCCCAGCCCCTTTAATTTTGTTTTCGAGGAGG